TTTCAAAGATGGCGGTGAGCTCCTCAGCCAGTGCCTGTCTAGCCTATTTGGGTCTACCTGAGAGGAAAAGACCGTCTCAGACAACTGGGGTGAATCGATAGTAGTACCCATTTTTATAAAAGGTACCCGAAGTAAATGTAGTAACCACAGATGTTAGTTTGGCGCCTGTTGTAACAAAGTTTCAGGTGTCACTGGTTGTTCGTCGTCTTGCGGTGGTACGTGAAACCTTGACTCGTGAGAATCAAGCGGGATTTCGACCAGGGAGAGGCTGCGTTGACCACATCTTCACACTCTGTCAGGTGTTAGAGCAACGCTACATGTACAGACGACCCACAGTCCTGGTATTTCTTGACTTCAAGGGTGCGTTTGGTTCTGTTGATTGGTCAGTGCTGTTAACTACACTTGCTCAACAGGAGTTCGTAAACATAATCCGATCCCCATATTCACGTACATCTGGGCGAGTGAGAATGTATGGTGAACTCTCCAAAAGCTTCCCTACAAAAAGTGGTGTCAGACCAGGATGTTCACCCTCTCCATTCTTGTTCAACTTCTTCATTGATGAAATAATGAGGCGAACGCTGGACGTTCTTCAAAACCCCGGTGTTCAAATTGTTGCAGGTGATATTATTGTCGATCTGGGGTGCGTAGGTGACCAAAGTGAGGCACAAGCCAGCCAGTTCCTTTCCATATCGTGTGATTGAGCGGTTGTATGTGTGGGCACCTCAGAATGCTTGAAATAGGTCAGCACTAGGTCCTCTCTCTCACCCACTCTTTTTCTCTTTTCACTCTAGGTCTTTAAATATAATGAGAAGAAACTTGTGGTTGTACGACAGTGAAGCATCAGTGTCAACACTGATGTTGCTGTGTTTGATGATGACTGTAATTGAATTGAATACCGCACCTTTGGTGATGCGGAGATTGCTGCACCTGGATATGACGGCGTGGGTGCCGTATTGAGCGATCGAGCGTGGGCGTGTGCACTTGGTCGGATGCCCATTGTTAGCATCCTGTGCACTATTCGTTTGGCGATGTCTGTGAAAAAATTCGGCAAAGTGAGGCCCGTCGCACTTCGTTTGGTGTCTGTTTTCGCCCAGATTGACAGTGGCTCTGAATCTTTTAAAGCCACTTTCTACGACGCCTTATGTGCTCTTTTATATCGGGCCAAAAGCCCACACCATTGTGGTTGCTGATAACATGGGCCTAAGGCTTAGAGCTGCTGTGACCCAACTGGATGTTGGTTTGTGACACTCAATGGAGTGTGTGTCGCTGGCGTGTTGGCCACAGATTGTTCTTTCGCCCTTCCAATTTCCGGAACAGCTGAAGTCATCTGACTACGTGGGTCCCACGAGAAAGCCAGCCCCAAACCCGAATGTAGTTACCCGGGAAGACAAAGCCCCAAAATGCACACACCTCGCATAGCCGTTTTTAGGCTTGTGGACCCAGAAGTCAAACGAACCAAGTAGACTCGGCTCCAAAGCCTTCTGACTGGTTCATTGTCGGATGCTGACGACTACCGCAGGTAAATATCCAAAGTATTATTGCCGGAACTTCCATTTTTGGTACAACCTAGTCAACCTCAAAACAAATAAAAAGTCGTTAAGCTGTAACACTTTCGGTGCCTAGCTGACATCCTACCCGATGGAATCACGAGAGGTGAGATACTGAAAGGTTACTCAAGCCTAGACAGGAGCGGTTGAGATGCAGAGGTTGGATTCGAACCACGGACCTTCCGGTCAGTAATTCCGCGCTCTAACCACTGAGCCGTCTTGAGCTCCTCAACCGACCTCAGCCATGCACAGGGTGGGGACCGCTTGATCCTCACTGTGCCTGGTTGGAGACACTACAATATATGGCTGCCAACCGATGTCAGTGGCGTTCTTGTTGTCAGTTTCTGTCCAGATTGCCTGAGTGAATGTCTGGAGGTGTAGGCACCTCGGAATGATTGTGTTAAGCTAGCACCAAGTCCCTCCCCCATCCACCTTTATTCTTTTCTTTACAATAAGGCTTTCAAATAAGTCATGGCTGTACGGCAGTGAAGCATTGGTGTTGAGCACTGATGTCATGCTGTCGTTGATGATGATGATGAACA